GTTCGGATGCGTCGAAATGATTATGAAAGGCTGGTTAGGATAAAAGCCATACTAACTATTTGCTTAGGTTAAGTGCCAATGATGCCGCCAAGCATGTTAAATGGCGCTAGAATACGTCGGAAAGATATTTAAAGGCCGATTAGGCAAAAACCCTCGTGAGTATTTCATTCCTGGTCTTCTGAATTTGAATTGTTCATTTAATTTGCGGTGACGCTTTGGACTTAGCCAGAGCTGTGCTTTACATCAAGCAAATCCCAGTTTTAATGACCAGGTTATCACGTTTGAGTCTCGCCAGCATAGCGGCAATTATAACAACCAGGTTTTATAAGAAACTAATTTATTCTTAGCTCGTTCATGTAAAGCTCAGAGTAAGTCTGCTGGGCGAAATACCATTTGTGAGCTATTCTGATTATGTACCGCTGCGAACAGCGACATCGGCATTCCGTTACTGATCGGTATTAGCTCGATGTTATTCGTCTTTGTTGAGTATTCAATCAAGGTACGGAACGAAACGGATCGCCTTAATGCGTATGTGGATGTGCTATTGTGTCGCCCCGATGACTTAGATTGCATGCAACGATGTTGACATCGCGTTTCGCACACCGTACGGATTAGGTGCACCAATATAGTTTTATATAGTATATTGTTGAAATGCTTGTGATAAAAGAAGTGTTGGAACTCAGACTCCACCTTTTGCAGCGTTTTTTTGCATTTGCGTCCGCACAAAACGTTTCAGCGGAATAAGCGCTTGTCGCACGCATTAAGCCCCTTAGCCAGCCTCCCGGTTTTGGCAGAGTGCTGACAATCAGTGAGCTTGGAGATAGTTTTGGTCTATCGAGGGGTGCATTCTATAATATCGGGATCGTGATCTTATTGGATCATGTGAGCAAATACGCGAATCTTGTTGCTGTCAGCTAAACTGTAAGTGGTAAGAGATTTAGCTTTGATATACCTCGACAAAGTGTTTCGCCAACATAGCTTACATGCTGTTCGTCTTTTCGAATCGAGATCCGCAACTTACGGCAAACTTATTGTAATTTTGCTAGAAATGTGATGAGCTAGATTAAAAGTGTCCATCTCTGACTGGCACACAGACGTATGCTGCACTGAGGGCCGTAAAATTGAAGCGAAATTCTCCCACGTTGCGTTGGAGTTGACTTTCGCTGTACACATTTACAAACTTTACCACATTCTTTATTGACAGCCGGTCACCGTTCTACCGCCACAACGAGAATGCTAAAAGTTCATTGTGTTGAAGTCAACTGCCTTGCAGAACGGGCTATCATATATGTGTGTCATCGTCATCATTATGCTCTGTAAGATTTACCATCTTGGGGCTGATTTCTCTAGATTAATACATGCTAGTGAAAGCAAAATAAGAGCCGAAATACTTTGAGTATTTGTCATAGCTAACTAAAAAAACATGACATGTATAGTGAAGGGATAATGAGGACACTTCTTCATGTCTCCGTTATTGAAAACTGAAGTTAACAGTATTTATTCCTTGAAATAACGTTCATATGCCACGATTCAACGTGAAAGGATAAACACTTCGAAGGCCATATAACAGTAAGTTCAAGGCGAGGTTCAAACTCAGTACTCCTTGATGTATAATCAGATGTATAGGATTCCACGGTCTTATATATAGAATCTCCAGGAGCTATTGGGGTGTTTTGCATGTAGCTCTACAAGCAATGAATTCATTTTGATTCAGTTGCAGGAACGTTTTGCCTTCAAGTCCCTAAATTGTTCTTTCATCATCCAATTCGAGTCTATCCTTTCCTTCCGCGCCAGTAATCGCTTTCTCCTTGCACAAGCGTCTGGGTTGTATTCGAGGAACTGTTGTGAACAGCGCCCTCATGCACCTGGTAGCATTTCGAGCGGTCTTTCGAACGAAATTTGATTTTTGCTGGAAGGCGCGGCTAATAAGCCCATCGTGCATCCCAGTCCAAGCCATACTTATGTCTCTCTTCGTGCGACATGGAGGGAGAGTTGGAGTGCCACTCGGCACATCATTGCCGCAAACCAGAGGCACTGGCGAATGTGATATCCCATCAGTTGTCTTCACTAAATGGCACTCGAGTGAATAGAAAGAGTCATCGGGGGCTGATGTAGTCAGCTTACTGCAGCCGTCTTTTCCGGACCCGTCAGTTCCGTGTGTCATGAGATTTTGGAACCTAGGAAACAGGTCAGAACGTCTATTTCTTACAGAACGATGCTCAAAGCTGAACGTCTCTTTGTACCGCGGTGGAGAGAAATAGAACCTCCCACAAAAGTTTGTCAAGTCGGTTGCAGCAATCACTGCAAGACAACTGCGAGACACTTTGCAGCCATTGTTGTCCGCAATATTCAACCTTGCCAGTCGTGCGAAGATTTGATCGTTTGGTAAGCGTTTAGCTGGTCTTTACTGCTTTCCTAGCTACGAACGCTTCAAAATCGTACTAAAAAAGGCGTTTGACCCATTACTCAGTGAATTTCGAGCCCGTGCCAAGTTTTTGAAGCCTTGTCATGGTCGTGACGACCTACACTCGTAAGCACAGCGTGCTTGCTACTTGGTCTCGAGCATTGTAGACGAGTCAATCTACGTTTCAACGCGAGTTGTAATTTTCATGGCGAGTTTGATTGATGGGTCGATCCGAAATCAACTGTTGCGTGAGTACCCCAAGAAGCTGAATGAATTCATCAACAGTGCGTTTTATGAAGACTTCACATCAAGCAAGCTAAGTTCAATGGCTTCGTACCAAAACAAGCGCGTCAGTCAACAGCTACAATTGATGGTTCAGTGCCAATAAGCATCTTGTACGCTTCTACGCCTGTTAATGAGCTTCCTCACAACGATGAAAGTGTTTTCGCTGTCGAAGCTCAGGTCATATTGCTCGGAACTGCAGAGTATCTTTATCGAGTCGGCGATAGACACATGGTGGTTGTTCGGATTACGCGGACGTTTAAGGGTCGTTGTCACAGATAAAAAAGTAGAAGCGACTAGTAGGGGTGGCGTTTGCTATAGGGTTGGAGAAGGGTACTGAGGATGCAGTGGATACACAAAACTCAAGCCTCAACGTGCATGAGGCACATGCAGCTTCCATTAGGTGTCATAATAGTGTCGGGGAAAGTGTGACTTTGATTGTCCAGGGAGTTTTGTAGATCGTTTTGAGAAACCACTACGAGCTTTGAATGACAATGGCGCATCGGACAGCTTTATTCGAGCTCAAATTTTGACTGAACATCGTGTTAGTCTGCCCAATGTGAAAACTAAAAACGATGATTCGCTAGCGAATGGATCTGCAACGAAGATGCCAAAGCAAGTCCTTTGCTTGGCAATAAAGCTTGGGGATTGCCGTGGCGTAGACGCGGTTATTTATTTTTGGCCTGGATGACCATTAGACATCATCCTAGGTGTGCCATGGTTAGAGCGTTACCAGCCTAGCATTGACCAGATGGATATGAAAACCATCGCCAACAAGTCTTCCTGCGCTAAATTAAGCAGCTTGACGACGAACAAAATGGTTTGGGACCATATACTGTTGAAGATGTCTCAGATGTCCAAGGTATATTATGGGGTATATTAGCCCCCATGCTCACCAGAAAAGTGTGAGGAGACTAAAGAAATGACACCAACTGAAGGTAGCAGTCAGGCGCCAGAAAAAGACAGTATCTTTTTCTATCGACATGGAAGTCATGGGCGAATATTCTACGTAGAATAATAGGACTAGAAGCAAAGACTCATTTCAAGAGAAGAATAAAAGACAAAGGAGGAGAATTTTTTCGTCTTCTTTCGTCAAGTATTTTGCGTGCCTCTGATTAAAGTACAAACTATACAACGGAGAAGTTGATGTCGATGTTATCCGTCAGGTGAAGATCGGTAATCCTCCAAGCTTTGTCAAAGAATTGTTTTACTTGCCGTTGTTGATGAGCAAGAAGATGTCAAACGTAGCCTCGTAAAAAGCCAGAATTTGTAAACATGTGCTATCGTCAAAGAAGGTATTGACTTTTTTATCAATTCTGCAGAAGTATTTGATGAGAATACACGGAAGAGAGGGTTTAATGAGCAGTCGTAGGGTGCTAAAAGATCAACTTCATGTATGGGCCTGTCAAGGAATACGCTAATATATTCCCAAACCAGGTACCAGACAAACTTCCATCTGATAGAGGCAGTTGTCATGGGATTGCCATACTACCTAGTACGAAGTATTGTATCACATGGCAGTGGCCGTTGCTAGTAAACAAGTCATCGCAATTGACCAGTTCTTTGCGCAGCTATAGAAGGTTGGCCATGTGCGTGAGAGAAAGTATCCGCATTGTAGTCCAGCTGTCTGTGACCCGCGAATTTCAAGAGAATGGTCACGAATCTTTCTCGTTCATTGAAAGAGTTTGCACCGAGTTTCTTTGACAATATATTCGTTCATAGTATAAACGGTCGAGAACGTTGTTGTCGATGTTCAGCTTGACCACCTTCGCTAATTCTTCCAAATAATGCGAGAGAATAAATTCTATGCTTACCTGAAAGATGCATTTTCTTCACACCTGATATTCCCGCTCTCGATTGCTTCGTGGGCAAGATCGGCGTTATGTGATGGGCCCATCCATTACATAACTATATACATTGCGTTACGTAGGTAGGTGCATCAGCACATGATTAGCGTTCGCTAAACTGCTATCATCCTACTGGCCAATACAGTGGAAGCCAGACCCAACATTAGCCAATTGGTCGATGACGTGTATGTGAGCGACCAGGACTTTCGCCCCGGTCCTAGAATAGTGTTAGAGTTTTATTTCCACAAACCTATTACGTAGTTGCTCTATAGCGAGCTATCTCAGCACAATAGTGTTAGTAACGAGGTCAATAATTGGCCCGTGACATCTGGTAGCACTTAGTAGTCCTTCCAATGACCAAGTTCGACATGAGTCGAGACCTCGACCACGCTGCTTCCCCCCACCTTACTTACATCGAGTGGGAAGCTCTCCACCGCCTCGCGGTGATGTCCGGATAAGCTGTTGTCATGTCGCTGCTGTGCTCAGCAACGCCTGGCCATCAGCGTCCAGCGGCACAAGAATTCACGAAGCGCGAGCTCGCCGATACGAATCGGCGAGTGTCAACTCCCTCGCGCAGTTCCACGAATGACGACGTGAGACTAGATACGTCCATGTGTCCCCTGGCGGCGAAGACTAACTCTCGCTGAATCGATGGTTTCAAGAGTTTAACATCTCTATCGCTTGAGTGTTGACCGAGGCGCCGTCTGTGAAGATCGACTACCCCTAACGCGGCTGTCCGGGAAGGTCAAGGAATGGGCTCACGGCAAGTTGGTTTACGTCCCCAACGCAAAAGAAGGGCGTGTGTGCCACACAGGATGGTGTACTTACACAAATGTGTGAGTCACACAATATTTTGTGACCACACAATAATGTGGCTACACTTAAACAAGTCAGTACGTGGCTGGAACAGCCAATGGAAATCCACTGGCTATTTAGTTAGCTTCCTATCTAAATAGAAAAACTCATAAATTTTAATATAGGCGGCTTTGCCGCAAATAGAATCCAAAAATACAGTTTACATTCTAAACGGTGGAGGTGATCAGCCTTGGGTTAATGTTGTTGTTACTCCTGGAATAAGCGGATTGCGAACCGCTACACTCGTACTAATTTTAGTAAAGGACGAAAGTCACCGACCTTAACAAGGCTTCCTCTGACCGAAAGAGCTACAACAGCCCCGCTGCAACCACACTCCTAGAGGATGACAGAACCCCTGTCTCTAAATTTAAAATGCTGAAAGCTTTACATGAGCAGCTCACGTTTGGAGCTGGTTGCGCTTCCACCGATGCCCTGCTGAAGCATTCTTGAAGATGTCTCACTAGCGTTTTCCCGTAGCTGGTAGACGCCTTCAGACGAACGATTACCGCTTCAGGCCCTTGACCGCCAATTGTCATATCCCTTCGAGACCATCAATAGGTATATGTGTGTCTCTGGCTGTCCCGAGGATAGATAATTAAACTGCTCCTTTTTTACATATGATACAGCACGGTCGTCGAAGTGATAAACATTTTACTAGGTGCAACGAGGTTGCAGCGTGCCTTGCACAAAGAAGGCATGTATTTAAGATTTTAAGCTAAGTACTAAACTAAGTTGGGTGTGTACGCTTCACTCAGAAACGAAAACAATAGTCTCCAAGGTAACAATGACTTTTGTCTGATCTGCTATTTCAAGAGTAGATTCGATTCTATCCAGATTGATGCTGTAACGGGGTTACACGTACCCTGTTACCAGGGGGGGTCACACGAGATGTGCATGGTGTGACCACACCAAATCAAAAAAACGGTATGGGGCTAGATAGCCAGTAATTATGCATATTTTAGATTTTACTATATATATTTAGGATGATACTAAACGACGCGAAATGTGTGCTCACCCTGGTCTCACCGAGACATGACCCTCTGTAGAGAGGCGACGGCGACGCCGTATGCTGGCTGCAAGACGTCGGGCGTCGACCCTGATCCA